AGCCAATTCTAATGAGAGTAAGGTTCACTCACTCCCCACCTCTTCAACTCCACTGTAAATACTCTTTCGTGCCTCTATGTGAGATAATTTACCCCATTCTACTTCTCCCTATCCCTTTCTCCTTGTACATTCCTCTCTCACTCCTGAATTTTATGTTTTCAGATATTGTTCCTTCATATTCAATTCACACCTGTGTCCTCTGTCTAGATATACTCTTTCTAACTGCCCTAAGAATGAGAAAGTTCTTATGAGTTACAAACATCATTTTCCCATGTAGGAATATAAACATTTTAACCTTATTAAATCCCTTATGATTTCCATTTCCTATTTACCTTTTTATGCTACTCTTGAGTCTTGTATTTGAAAGTCAAAATTTCTATTCAGCTTTGGTCTTTTCATCAAGAATTCTATTTCATTGAATTTCCATTTTTTTCCCATAAGGATTATACTCAGTTTTACTGGGCAGGTGATTCTTGGTCGTAATCCTAGCTCCTTTGACCACTGGAATATCATATTTCAAGCCCTCTGATCCCTTAATGTAGAAGATGCTAAATCTTGTGTTATTCTAACTGTGTTTCCACAATCCTTGAATTATTTCTTTCTATTTGCAGTATTTTCTCCTTGACCTGGGAACTCTGGAATTTGCCTATAAGATTTCTGGGAGTTTTACTTTTGGGATCTCTTTCAGGAGGTAATAAGTAGATTTGTTCAATTTCCATCTTACCCTGTGGTTCTAGAATATCAGGGCATTTTTCCTTGATAATTTCTTGAAAGATTATGTCTACGTTCTTTTTTTTTTATCATGACTTTCAGGTAGTCTAATAATTTTTAAGTTATCCCTCCTGGATCTATTTTCCAGGTTAGTTGTTTTCCAATGACATATTTCACAATGTCTTCCATTTTTTCATTCTTTTGGTTCTGTTTTATTGTTTTCTGATTTCTCATAAAATCATTAGCTTCCATTTGCTCAATTCTAATTTTGAAGGAACTATTTTCTCAGTGAGCTTTTGGACCTCCTTTATCCATTTGGTCCATTCTGCTTTTTATGGCATTTTTCTCCTCACTGGCTTTTTGGACCTCTTTTACCACTTGGCCAATTTTGCTTTTTCAAGTGTTATTTTCTTCAGTATTATTTTTGTGTCTCCTTTACCAAGCTGTTGACTAGTTATTAATGATTTTGTTGCATCACTCTCCTTTCTCTTTCCAATTTTTCCTCTACTTCTCTCACTTGCTTTTCAAAATCCTTTTTGAGCTCTCCATGGCCTGAGACCAATTCATATTTTTCTTGGAAGCTTTGATTACAGGAGCTTTGACTTTGCAATCTCTTTCAGAGTGTGTGTTTTGATCTTCCTTTTTTTTTTTCCTGTTTTCTTTTTTTTCTCTTAAAGACTAGCCTTAACCCCAAATCACTCTGGTCCCAGACCAAGCCCTTCTTGGCCCTTATTGGCTCAGAATGAATGTAAATAACAATTGTTTCTGTTTTTGCCAGAAACCCTGAGGGTCTTTCCCTCCTAGATTTTTTTTTTTTTTTTAAATTTTAAAAGAGGCCATTCTTTGCCTCATTTTTATTAAGCCTTAATCATTGAATGGGTGCTGCCTCAGTCAAACTGAGATCTGTTAAAGACCTTAGCTTGAAAAGGCCAAGGTTCCCCATTGCATCCTAGGCCATTTCCAGTTGTCCTGATCCATATCTGGCCACTGGACCCAGGAGGAGAGAGTGAGGCTGGTGACTTTGCACAGCCCTCCCTCACTTAAATCCAATTCACTTGCATGTCACCTCCCTGATGTCATGGTCCTCTTCAAGAACAAAGGACAAACAGCAAAGCAAGCAATAGCAATCTTCCTTGTCACCATAGTAACTTTCTATGGTCAGAATTTTTTCTGTTGTTTGCTCATTTTCCCAGCCTATGTCTTGACTTTTAACTCCTTATTAAAGTACGGCTCTGCTTCCAGCATCGAGGGCACATTGTCCTAAGCTTCAGGGGTTTTGTGCAGCTATTTTTCAGAGACTTCAGGGACCTGTAAGTTTTCAGTTCTTCTAAGGTGGTAGAATCTACGGAGAGGTGTATTTACTTCTCTCCTGGCCTGTGCTCTGGTCTGTGAGTTACAACAAGCACTCTTTTCTGCCCTTGAACTGTGATGAGGGTCCCCAGCTGTACTGTAGCTGCAAGCTCTGGTGTGCTAGTGCTCCTCCTCGCCCTGGGACTGCTACCCAGCAATGGAGTTGGATACAACTATGGGAAAAGTAACAGAGTCCTGCCTCTAGCACTAGCAAACAGACCTCAGTAATCTTCTTCCAACCAGTTGTTTGACTCCCTTACTATATGTGCAACTGAGAGCACCAGAAGCAGCTGCTGCCCACTGGTTTGCTGGGACCCAATCTGTGCTGGCACAACCTGTGCTGGATTGTGCTCCACTCTCACTCAGGTGTGACAGACCTTTCCTACTGACCTTATCAGTTGTCTTTGGCCGGAAAATTATTTCACTCCACCCTTTTGTGGGTTTTGCTACTCCAAGAATTGTTTTATGACATTATTTATAGGTGTTTGGAGGGGTTTGGGGGAGAGCTCAGGTGAGTTGATGCCTTTTCTCCACCATCTTGGCTCTGTCCACCTATTATATTCTTTATACCTACTACTCATTTGAGTGATATTATCTGAGTAGAAAGTAATTTACAAAATCCACTGCAGTTACAGTTAGATGGAAGTCTGTGTGTAAGAGCAGGAGCAAAAGAGATGCGCCAACCATGTAGCAAAAGTGATGCACAGCTAAAGTCAATCTGTCAATAGATACTTATTAAAGGCTCACTTCATGCCAGACACTGTGCTAAACACTAAGGATACAAAGAACAAAAGACAGTCTCTGCCCTCAAAGAGTTCTCAGTAAAATGGTGAAAACATACAAACCACCATGCAAAAACAAGCTATATACAGGATAAATAAGAGATAATCAACAGAGGGAAGATACTAGAATTAAGGAATATTGGGAAAGGCTTTCTGTAAAAGGTAGGATTTTTAGCTGGGATTTGAAGGAAGGCAGAAGGCAGAGATGTAGGACAGCATTCCAGACATGGGGTACAGCCAATGAGAATGCCCAGAATCCAGAGATGGAGTTGTTTGTTCAAGCATGGAGACCAGTGTCACTGGATCACAGAGTATATGAAGGCGTATAAGACTGGAAATGTATGGGAGGAATGGGAAAGGGGAGATTATGAAAGGCTTTGAACACCAAACAGAGGATTTTATAATCAATCCTAATGAATAGAGAGCCACTGGAATTTATTAAACCAGGACATGACATGGTCAGACCTGCATTTTAGAAAGATCAGTTGAGTGGAGGATGGATTGGAGTGGGGAGAGACTGGTTTCCATGAAATATTAAAAAATAAAAAAAAAGAGGAAGGCCTCTATGAATAGATAACATATGAAGAAGAATCGATAGAGATATATAATAAGTAGCACAGAATGAAAAATCATGGAGGGTCATAATCTGCACCAACAGAACATACAGTCACATAGGTGAGATCACATATTCACTTAAGTAAAAATATATGTAGTCCTTCTGCCCAAATATCTAAAATCTATAGTTCCTTAGCTAAATTATTAGCTTTTTAATCAAAAGTGGTACTTTAGCTTTCTTGTTCGATGTATGATATTTTATATCTTTTAACTCTTAGAGAAAAGGTCACGTGTGTATATAACATATGCAAATTTGTATATTACATTACACATAATATACATTACTATATGTTACAATAATATATTATACAAAGACACATAATATATACATAAACACATCCCTTCCACAAAAGTCCCATTCTAATATCTCATCACTGTAGGGTGGTAAAAACCCTTTGTTTCCAAAGGCTGTGCCAGCAGGGCACAAGTTCTGGCAGGTACCAAACCAAGTGTGTGCCAAGTATGTCTGTGTTTCAAGGAACAGCCTAGCAAGGTTCAGAAAGGCTCCTCACCAGGTTAGCCACAGAGAGATAAACTTTTTCTTAGATTACATTAGAAAGAAAGCTCCTTGCAAATAGGAATTATTTTATTTTATTATGCTTATATCCCTAGCACAGTGTCTGAAACATAGTAAGTTCTTAATATTTAACTGATTCTGAAAAAGAAACTCAAAAAGACTGTATTCTTCTAAGGAAGGAGGATCTACACAAAAAAAATTACTGATCCCCAAACTACTGAAATAAATAAATGTATACAAACAATACAGATTCACTCTTAAAAAAAGTAATAAGCAGATCCAGAGAAATATTTGTATTCCCCACAACCTTTCCAAAAAAAGAGCTCAAAGTGCTCACTACATTTAGTCTACATTATTTATAGGTGTTTGGAGGGGTTTGGGGGAGAGCTCAGGTGAGTTGATGCCTTTTCTCCACCATCTTGGCTCTGTCCACCTCCATTTAGTCTACAAGTCTATTTCAAGAATTCCCTCTTTAAACATAAAACTTTATAGAGTGATTTATCTTTGAGGACACAAAATATTAAAGAAAAATGATAAACATTCCTTAATCTCTACAAAAGTAAAAGAAAAAACAAGAAACAAGATAAGCAGAAAGGAATAGTTCAGGAGAACTAATACATACACAGATAGTAATGAATTTCTAAGAAGCTCATCCAAGTCTTTATTTTTGCAAGGGTGCTGAATTCAACCTAAAATGTTAGGACCTCAAATTTTGATAAAAAGGTAAATAAGAATATAACAATTTATGTAGTATCATACTTAGTAAGTAACTGTTTGTACAGAGTTATCTTTTAAACAAATGATTATGGACAGTTACATAGGAATATTAAGCTAACAAGTGCCTCCTCTTACAAATGACAAAAATTAAGATTTAACTAGTCAATAACATATTTATTAAAGAAAAAACATAATTAAATCTCTCTCATTCTCTCATAGTGTTTCTACAGTTATGAGAACTAATTTCAAAACCATCAATAACTATTTTTAAACACACAAAAATTTATTTATATCATAAGAGAACTTACCTTTGGTCCTATTTTTGTTGGCACATCTCCATTTTCCAAGATACGCAAGTCCAGTTTACCATCATCCTTATTTCCTGTAGCCTTTAGCCCTTGCAAAAGAATTTCTCGTAAATTCTGATAATGAGGTTTTTCTGTGTAGCCCAATAATTTCACTTCCTCCATATACTTAGCAATTTCACCTAAAAATAAATCATATTTTTCTTTTTTAGGTTATTCATCTTTACCATAACCAATGTGATCATTTGCCAATATAATTAAATTTATTATATTTTTCAACATGACTAAATTTATTACTTTTAGAGTTCTATAGTCCAAGGCTGTTCAAGGCATTAATATATTTGAAAAAAATTCTTTGAATTTTTAAAATCCACTTACTGAAAGAAAAGTGCAATTTGGATTCAGGAATTGTAGGGTCAATAAATTAAGAAAAAAATGTATTCTCCTATATGTTCTTAAAAAAAATGTTACAGTTGTAACACTAATACAAAGAAGATTACTAAAAACACTTTCATAAAAATAATAGGAAGTTTTTAAGAGTTGAAAGAACACATTTTTTTTAAACTACAGAAAGTACTAATTAGAAAAATAAGGAAAGCTAATTCATGGAACAGATTAGGTAAACAAGCTCCAGAAGCAACTGAACATAATAGTGTAGTGTTTGTTAAATCCAAGGACATCAATTACTGGGGTAACAACGCCTTATTAAACAAAAATTGATTGGAGAACTAGAAAGCAGTTTGGCAGAAATTAGGTCTAGATGAACATATTATACCATTTACCAAAATAATCAATTAAGAAACACACATTAAAAATGTACTTTGTTTGTGCCAGGCATTGTACTAGGTGCCAGCGATAAAAAGACAAAATTAAAAGTCCTTGCCTTCACAGTTTATATTCCACCATGGAAACAACATCTACATATATAAGTAAATACAAGATGGATACAAGGTGAAAGCTTCATGTAGAAAGTGTCCTATGAACTAAGTGTTGATGTAAATTGGGGTCTCTAACCAGTTGAGGTGAGGACAGAGTAAATTCCAGGAAAGAACAACAATCAGCAAAAAGGTACAGAGATCATAAATGGAGTGTTGTATATAAGGGATAGTAAAAAATCCATATACTATACTATACTATACTATACATACTATATAGTACATGAAGGCAACTAAGATGAAATAAAATTGGAAAGGTAAGTCAGGGCTCAGACGTGAATGGCTGTAAAAGCTAAATAATGGAACTTCCTGTTAAAATGGCTAAATGAATAATCTTGCACATGTACTCCAGCAAAGATCTAAAATAGGCACAAATTAAACAATGACCAAGAAATCCAAAGAAAAATATAGTAAATGCCTTTATCCAGTCTGATTACACAAAAAGATATACAGAAGACTATGGCAAAGTCAAAACAATCTACCAAGAAAGCTAATGTGAAAACAAGAAGAAAGTCCAGAGATACATGAGGGGCACCTAAAGTCAGAAAATTTGTACCCAGAGGCAGGAACGCTGGAAGGATTGGATAAGAAAGCTCCAGGTTGAATGGAAGCTCACAGCACTTTAAGCAGAAAAACAGAGGCCAAAAGTCAATAGCAACAAGAATAGGTCAGCAACACTCAAACCTAGACAGGAGATCCAAAAGTTCATAACACAATGTACTTAAAATAGTAGTGGGCTCTGAACCTAGAAAACCCAAGAGAGATTCAAATGTACCAGTACTCTGAGTGAAGACACAACAGGGCAAGCAGAAGTCAGCAGCAGAAAGCCCAGTTAAAGTCAAAAACACAATGTGCCTGATCACACCAACCAAGAGCACGAGACGAGACTGAAGCTGACCCTGGCACAAAGTCCAAAATCAGGAACTAAAATGGAAGATGTAAGTTAACAGAAGGCAAAGACATTATTATACATTATGAAATGCCCATCCTAAAAAATCTGCTGTAGATCAAAGCACAGGCAAGGAAAGTAAGATTACTACTGTCAATGACAAAGGACATTTGAGCAAATAAGATATTGGACCATTGGTCCAAGAAATTGAAAAATACCAGGCTAAAGATGAGAAGCAGAGAAACAAAGCCTCCAAGAACTCAGAAGAATCTTGTGCTTTCAACACGAAGGTTACATTAGTCTTCCTGACTGCAGGTCCAGTGCTCTTTCCACTGTGCCATCTAGTTGCCCTGGCCCAAAATTGGAAACTAAGAAGTTACTTCAGAGTGGCTAAACAAACTGAGCTATGTAAATGTAATTGAATCTTACTGTGCTTAAGAATATGACAAAATGATGGGGCAGGTAGGTGACCCAGTGGATAGAGCACTGGTCCTGGAGTCACGGAGACCTGAGTTCAAATTCAGCCTCAGACACATAACACTCACGAGCTGTGTGACCCTGGGCAAGTCACTTAACCCCACTTCCCAGCAAAAAAACAAACAAACAAACAAAAAGAATATGACAAAATGGAAAGTTTCAGAGGAAACTAAGGAGACTTCCATGAATTGATGCAGAGTAAAGTGAGTAAAACCATAACAATCTATCTAATGATGACATAGAGAAATAACTATAAAAGACTTTGGAAACCTGATCAATAAAATGATAAACAATGAATCTAAAAGAATGAAAATGAAATATGCTGCTTACCTTCTGCCACAGAATGATGATGAAAAAGACATACATTTTCAGACATGGCCAATGAAATAATTTGTTTTGCTTGTATTTGTTTGCATAAATTTTGAGGGTTTTATTTTTCAGAATTTTTAAAAACTTGATCAATTAGGGGGAAGGTAGGAAGTAGGAAGGGAAGGGGAAAAAGACTTTATGCAAAAAAATAAGCCAATCCAACACATTCATATCATTACTATAGTTGTTTTTATAAGTTATAAATTATCTATGTGTTACATGATTTTTATTTTATGTTTAAGATTGTTGTATGTGTTAAATTATGATAAATTTGAAAAAATAAAATGATTGCTTTCCATAATTCTAAAGTATTCTTACAATATTTTACTGAAATTTCTAACATTAAGGAAAATTATAGTTATCACAACTTTTTTTCTTCCCAAAACAAAAACCTTCCTACCTGGCTTATTTTTCTCAGGAAAACACTGGTCCATCAAACTTGTAATATTTTCTCGGTAGCTAAAAAAAGATCAAAGAATGAATAAATGTTTAAAGTCTCACCCTTCAGTGGATTGTTAATAAGAGGTGAAATAGCAAATTTAGAATGAACTTATGTGATATCCTAGACATGCTAATGGCTTTGCTTTTAAAAAAATACATAAATAAGGGCACATGCTAAGCCTACCTAATTACTTATATCTACATTATTGTTAGTTAAACAATTAAACAGAGTTTAATCCAAATACTCTTGCCTATTTTAACTTTTAGAAATATAAGTGCCAAAGACAATTCTATTACAAGTTAGTCTGAGAGAAAAAAATCACATTCTCCTCCACCTAATTTTGGAATCTCTGACATAATTAGGATCTTTCAAATTGTCCTCCCAAGGGAGATGGCCACTGAGCCACTGGATCATGCAGTAACCTAGTATTTCCAAGTCACCCCGTCTTGATGGAGCTGAAATATAAAACAAGTAGAGAATTAGGCATACTGAATATTTTAAAATAATTACTTCAAATATATGGAAGACAAACTAGAAAAAAGAATAATTGGTCTTTTATTATAAAAATTCCATGCATTATTTAATGTAAAAATAGAGATAATATAAAAAACTGACTTCTCTTAAAGTAACAGAAGCCATTGAGCATCTCAAATTTGTAATAATTCAAGAACCAACACTGATACACAGACCCACAAAGAAATAAAATTAAAAAGATTTTATTGATATACTGATTTCAGTGTTACTCTTAGGAAACAGATGTAATCAAAGGATCATCAAGCTTTTTAAAAAGAGGTACAGTTTTCAATTCATACTCTCTTGAATTCAGAATAGATCAAGTATTTATGATTACCCAAAGATAACAATTGAAATATCATTTTAAAAGAGCTTCACCTTTTTTATTCAATACCTAATTGGCAAATGCATAAGCAACTTTCAGTCAGAATAGTTTTTTTAACTTATGAGAACATTTTGTTAAACTGTGAACAAATTCTTAAAGAAAATTCAAGAAACTAAGAATGTTATCATCAATAAAAATAATGGTAGTTAGCATTTTATAGTGCTTTAAAGTTTACAAAACACTTAACAAATATTATCTTATTTTATCATTAAAACAATTCTTCTAGTGCTACTATTATCCCCATATTAAAGATAAGGAAACTGAGGTAGATGCTAAATGACTTGCCCAGAGTGACAAGGTTAGTAAGTGTCTGAAGCTGGATTTGAATTCAAGTCTTCCTGACTCCAGGTCTAGGCAGTGGGTCATCTAGCCACCACACAGTTAAAAACCTTCTTTATTTGAAAAAAAAAAAACTTTTTTCAAAAAATGAAAGTGACCTAGTGCCAACCTTATGTCATTCTATTTTTTAAAGTTCTAGACCAAAGAATTAGGACTCAAAATACATTAGCAGTTTTAAAAATACTAACCTTAATTGTTATTTACTTACCCACACCCTTATGTGCATCAATACTTGTAAACTCAATGGTTCCATCATGACACCTTTTAGGGTCTTCTTTGTATTCTTTATGAACTCCTTCCGGACAATATCGGTAAGCCAGGCCATAATCTACTAAATATACCTAGAAATTCCCAAATATCACACTAAGATTAAATCAATCTGCCATACACACACACACACACACACACACACACACACACACACACGTTCAAAACTCAGAAACAAAATACAATGGCATGTCATTATATCCCTAGGGTGAATTCATCTAATAGGTTATCTATGCAGTAGACTCCTAAAAGGTAGCTTGAGCCAAAATACAAACAATATTCATTCATTCAAAATAATTTATTGAATAATTACTACATGAAGAACTATCCGCTAGGGACTAAGGAAGGCATAAAGTTTAGACAAGATCCCAGTACTTAATCAGACCAGGTACAGTGCTAAGTGCTGCAGATACAAAGAGAGGTCAAAAATAGCCTGTTCAAAAGGAACTCGGTCTAAAGGAAGAGAAAACATGTACAACTATGTACAAAGAAGATACATAGAGAATAAACTGTGGATAGTCTCAGAAGGACATCAAAAGACATCAACAACAAGGCTTCTTGTAGGGATAGGATTTTAGCTAAAACTTGAAGAAAGTCAGGAAAGCCTGAATGCACAGATCAGAAGAGAGACAGCTCTAGGCATGAAGGCCAGCTAGTGAAATTGCTCAGTCAGGAGATGTAATGGCATTTGAGAGGTACACTAAAGAGACCTATGTCACTGAATCAAAGAGTACATGGGGGGTGGGAGAGGCCTAAGGGGTTAAGAGACTAAAAAGGCAGGAATGGGCCAGGTTATAAAGAGTATTAAAAGTCAACATATTTTATGTTTGATTCAGAAGGTGATAGGAAGCCACTGGAGTTTATTGAGTAGAAGGCTGACATAGTCAAAACCATACATTTTGACAGCTGAGCAGAAGAGGGATGGACGTGGAAAGAGATCTGAGGTAGGGAGACCAAATAAAAGACTACTGTGATAATCCAGGTATGAGGTGATGAGGACTGCAACAAAGTAATGGCAGTGTCAGAGAAAAGATGGGGGGAGGGGGAAAGGTTACAAAAACAAACCACAGGACTTGATAAACGACTGGATGGGAGAGAGGAAATAAGAAAGAGTGAAGAGTCAAGGATGACACCTAGGTTGCCAGCCTGGATGACTAGAAGGATGGAAATCCCCTTAAGAGTAATAGGGAAGTTAGGGAAAGGGAAGGATTGGGGGAGGGGGGAAGAAGGGCAGAATACACCGAGTTCAGTTTTGGATATTTTGAGTTTTAGGCATCTATGAGATAAGTAGTTTGAGATGTCCAATAGACAGTAGGAAATGTGAGATCAGCAGAGAGGTTAGAGCTGGATAAGATGACTTAAGAATCATAAGCATAGAGATAAAAATCAGATCTACAAGAGTTAATAAGGTCACTTTCTCAATAAAGAGAAGTACAGTAGAGAGACGATAAAAAGAAGAAAAGAGGGCCCAGGACAAAGCCACACTCATAGTTAATATGTACATGACCTAGATGAAGATCCAGCAAAGGAAACTGAGTAGTCAAAAAGTTGGAGAACCAGGGGAGATTAGTATCTCTAACACCTAAAAAAAGTATCAAGGAGAAGAGGGTGATCAGCAGTATCAAAGGCAGCAGATAGATCAAGACAGATGATGAGAGATGAAAAGCCATTAGATTTGGCAATTCAGAGAGTATTAATAACAATGGAGAGAGTAGTTTCAATTAAATGGTGAGGTCCGAAGACAGACTATAAAGAGTTAAGAGAGTAAGAATAAAAGAAACAAGAGCACCTACTTAGATGGCCTTCTCAAAGAGTTTAACCCCGAAGGGAAGAAGAGATATGTATGGGGTTGTAGGATGTGACATGATGAAAAGAGGAGAAAAGGGAGTTCTCTGTGAATGGCTTTAGTCTTTTCAGTGAAATATAACGCAAGGTTCTCAGCTGAGAAGGTGAGGGAAGAGAGAAGAAACAATGGAAAGGTTTAGAAAATCTGCTGTGTTGGGGGTGGGGAGAAGAGAGTAAATCAAACACAGAAGTGTAAAAAGATTGCCTTGCTACAGTGAAGGCCCAGTTGAAACAATGTAATATAAAACTGTAGCGTTCCCAGGCATTTTATTCTGTGATCCCTTTTATCCTTTGTTGAATAAGAATTCTTGCCCTATCCACAGTGAACAAAGGTATTTCCTTCCATGGTCCAATTTGTTTGTGATTTGATTCTTTATATCTAAATAATACATCCATTTGAAGTCTTACTGGTGTATATTCAATTCACATCTATAAACATTGACTAAGGGCCTACTAGGTCCCAGACATTGTGCTAAATGCTGAGGATACAAAAAGAGGAAAAATATTTCCTGCCCCCCAGGAGCTCACAATCTAATGGATGAGACAACATGCAAACAAATATATGCAAAGCAAGCTACGTACAAGATAAATAGAAAATAATTAAAAGAGGGAAAGCACTGGAAATTAATAGGGGCTAGAGAAGGCTTCCTGTAGAAGGTGGGATTTTAATTGGGACGAGGGCTTAGAAATTTATGTTGAGGCAAATTTCCTCGGACACTTTTAGATGGCTCTGTCCTTCTATACTCTATATGCTATGACCATTGTCAATATGGATGGGTTGGTTGATATTGGGCCCCACTCTGCCTTAATTCTTAAATTTTTTTTTTTCTCAGTTTCCTAGGGGTTTCAAGGTAGGTTCCTGTCTCAGCTGGTCTCAGTCTCCTTTTTGTATGATCCCCTGCTGTGCCCCTGACAGGCTCCGTGGGATTGAAGCTATCATACTGTTCTCAGGCTTCCTCCACAGCTACCCTAGATCTGGCACCCAGGCAATGACTTGCCCTTCTGTCTTGCTTTGGCTATTAGTATTCCAAGAAGTACATGGCCCAGACCTTTCTCCCTGTGCAGTGAACAATGGAAACTTCTGTTCTGCCAGACCAGAACCAGGTTTCACGTTCACAATTACTAATTCATAATTAACTTGGAACCCACCGCTATACCCCACAGAGCACTAGATGACTTCTGGTCTGTTAGCATGAGTTCATGATGGCTTTCCCCATGATACTTTTGTCACCACCTCTGCTAGCTTCCAGTCTTTTACTGGAGTTCATACTGGCTTCCCTGGTGGAACTTCTCTCTACAAGCAGTCAGCTTCTACATTTACCTGAGCTCACACTGGTCTCCTTGCCAGCCTTTGCTCGCTTTGGAGCATCTATTTGTATAGTGCTGAACTAAATTAAAGAGTTTACTTCTGTTCCTTTCTTTATCATTAGTCTTTCTGGGTCCTTTTCAGATATCTGATGAGGTTTGTTTAGGAGAACTGAAATTCTCTAAATCACTTCATGTTGCCTTTTGTTTTTTCCTGAAAACTGAGTTTTCCTATCTCTCCCAAACTAGAAATACAATGTCAATTCATAAGCCCAGTCCCAATACAGATCAACATAGAAACTTTTATCTGCTTCATTTTTCCCACTGGGGGCGGTTTGCTCCTCCTTAGACAGTCTGGTGGCCCTCCACTTCTGAGCAGGGGTGGGGGAGCGGGGGAGACCCAACATATGAGTGCTGAACTTACATGGACAATAGAGACACTTTAGCTCTACTACAGCTCAGAACTCCTGAACTTAAGCAATCCACCAGCCTCAGACTCCTCACCTACAAGTATACAACATCAAGCCCAGCTCATGTTGCCTTCTTAACCCGAAGTCCCTGGGTCCCTATTTTCCTAGTGTTACAATAATTTAATATTAAAAGGCCTTTGAATCTGTGGCTTTTCACTTGCCAAAATTTTAAACAGGCATTAAAAGACTAAAATAATTTCTACTGTATTACAATGCTTAGTACTTGATATATTGTTATGTACCGTTCTCTACCCATTTCATATCTATTAACGGTCTCATCTTCCCTAATAGATTATAAGGTTCTCAAGGGTAGGCACCATGTCTCACACTTTCATACTTTGTTCTTCTATTTCCTAAGGAACCAAGCACAAGGTTAAACACACAGGAGACACTTAATAAGCACCTGTTGACTGATATCATTTGCTATTCGTTGTTTCTTGCCCCACCCCAAAAAGATTTTTAACTCTAAGTCTGCTTGGAAGCCACTACTGAAGCATATACCCAGTTTCTTAGTTTGATTTATAAGATGTATACAATATCTGTTCACTTCATAAAGTGATAAGCAGCATGGTAGACTGAAAAGAGTAGTAGATTTAGAACCACAGGACCTGGGTTTGAATTGGAGTTCTGCCACTTTCTGTGTACCTCTAGAAAGTCACTTAGCATTTCTGTGCCTCAGTTTCCTCATCTATAAAATGTGAAGCTTAGACTAGACAATCTTTAAAGGATGCTTCTGCTCCATAAAATAAGATTGGCATGCTATTTTATAGATTACAAAATTTAACTAAAGGATTTACAGATGATGTTCTCTATATAAAAATGCTATAATATACTTCATAAAGTTACTTTTTATTATAGAGAGAAAAGAAGAAGGGAGAAGAAGATGGAGAGTAGAGCTCAGAAGTAATGAGGTCCTGATCTAGGCGTCATGTGGACCACTTAATTTTGATCTGTTCCAAAGCCCTAACCCCAGTCAGCCGTTTCAAAGATGTATGCAAAGAGTAAAGGAGGAAATTCAGTGGGAGTGAAAATGGAAGAGAAACAAATTAATCAAGAATACTTTAAAAAAAAAAAAGGTATATGACCTCCTCACAGTGGTTTCATAAAATTACTTTCATGTAATAAATAATACCATACTATATTTAACTACAAATTGAAACTATATACATTCTACATACTCTATTATATCTTTTATAACTTAAAATGACAGTAAGTACCATTTCTAATCATACTATCTTAATTAAAAGAATCCTTCAAAATCATCCATACTCTTACCTATTTTGTATCTGACCTAGAAATTGTACACGTAAAGCAAAATGGCTTGAAAGACCTAACATCAATTCTATGACAGCTACAAAAATTTCTAAACAGAAGCAAAGAGTACAGAATAATATGTAAGAAGTAATATAATGGTTTCCTTTCTTATCTTCAACCAGTGCCTAATTTGGACTGCTAAAACCAAACCCTAATATCCCTATTCAAGGTGCTATTGATTCAAGATGCCTCTCTCCCCATTCTAACAGTAGCTTCTATCAAAATCATCATCAGTATATTTACTGAGATCCAGGCAAAGCAGTCTACTCATCCTAAAATAAACTCTACATCCCAAAGACCATATACTTTCTTTAGGTTAATTTGGAAAACTGCCCCATAAGTTTTCCCCCTTGACAAATTATCTACAGCTAAAGCTGACTAAGGCCTTTAACAGTCTTCAGTATGTACTGAAGCTAAAAGTCAATCATAATTGTGGAAATTCCATCCAGGTGCTTAACTCTGGCCAATTAGCACAGGTTGAACCCTACCTCTGGAATGGTCTCCCCTTCACACCTCTGCCTCTTGAAATACCTGGTTGCCTTCAAGAATCAGTTCAAGTACAACCTTTTTTTCTGCAAGAAGCCTTCTGTGGTTCCCCCACCTGCTAGTGTCTTCCCATCCAAGTATACCTTGCATCTGCTTTCTATGTATTTTGTATTTACTACCATGTTGTCTCCGTTAAAATGAAAGTTCCATGAAGACAGGGACTATTTTGCTTTTGTCTTTATTCCCCAGATTTTAGAACAGCAACACATTGTCAGTCTATAAATAATAAATGCTTTGTGACTGACTGTGATCGATTGTGCATCATCTGGAAATACAGGAAGGGACTATGGGACAGTATTCATATCCCAGGAGTTGTTACAGTAGTGGCTGTACTTCATCTTGCAATAACTCATATGCTTCAATAACTGCCTCAGAATATGCTTGAGTTGTATGTTGGGTTTTGCTTTCAGCTTTTAGTGGCACAAGGGTAGCGTGTGTCACATGATTATTCATTTAATAGCATTAGTTACTAAATGTTGGTGAATGAATATAGGAGAACTTGGATGCCTTCTGACCCTTGGAATTAATGAAGAGATCATAAAATAAAAAACAATAACTGATACAGTCAAAATACAAATGTTCTCTTAGATCAACCAAGCAACTAGAATAATTGTTTATATATTAGGATACATTTCTACAGCTAAAAATTCTTCATTTCTCTATTGTAAGTCAGTCCAATGCTACTTTTATAAGAACATAGAAATACAGGAACATAGATATTATAAGTAAGAAATTTATCTAGACCTCACTACTACTCTGCCAACTATATTAAAAATACAGTAATATTAGTTTTTATTCTTTCCTAACAAAGTTAAAAATTATGGAAAGCAAGGAAGAGACCGTGGAAATACACATTTGAATTCTAGACACTAAAGAGTATAAAAAACTAGACAGCTGAGATATTTCTGTAAAACAATTGATTTGAATAATCAACATGTTAAAAGACCAAATTTTCCAAGTAAGAGAAGACTTACATTTGATGGATTTCTTGAACAAAGAAAATGAAAAAGTGACAAAGCAGACAGGCAAACATAATTCATTGGTGCACTATATAATTTTAAGCTTCCACCCCCAAATAGCTATTTGAAATTCATTTTGTATTCGCAAGCACTCTTCCTGAACATTATTTAGGGCAAAATAGCCAACTTGATAAAGTGTCAGCAAATTGCATCAAAAATATAGAATGCTAACTAGATAAAAGTGTCAAGTAGAAATATTATTATTACTATATCCAATTCTAAAAAGTTAAACTTCTGCTGGGGTTCAAAAGTTCAAAGTAACTTGATTTGCTGAATAGGTCTTAAATAGAAAAAAATTAAAGTTATAAAACTACCTGGTCAGGATTCTTGTAGTTCAGAAGAAGATTAGAGGCTTTGATATCTCCATGTACATATTCATGCTCATGGATATATTCCAGAATATCCAGCTAAGAAATCAACAAATAGAAATTAATGTAATACTAATTTCAACCAGCAGAGGACATGTACTGAACTTAAAATAGCTTATACAATATTACAAACACTTACTACTCTTAAGCTTAGCTGCAAGACAGTTTTCCGTGAAAATCTTTTAGCATTGGCTTCATACAACTTCTGAAGATCACTCCCAAAGCGATCCATTACCATAAACCTATAACTGAGAGCAAACAAAAAGTCAATGGAAGAAACACAACTTAGTGATCCACTTTGCAATTAAGAGACTGTGCTTACCTCTTTAAAGAAAAGGTTCTTAATAAAATACTCTAAACACAAATGCTTGAAAAATAATTTTTCTATTGGAAATTAACATACTATTTCAATGATCTTCACTTTAAATTTTTGCCTTTAACCTTCCTGACCAAGGGTTAATAGGCTATTACCCATTTGAGAGAATCCTGTATATTCAATCTCAATGGATTCACCCTGATTAAAAAAAAAAAAAAAAACACTAATCTTTTCCCATTTTTAGAGTCACTATTATTCTTATTATAGGATTATTTTCATGTAATGGTTCCTTGAAAAAGACATTTTTTTACCCCAGAGTTGCTAGATTTTTTTTGTTAAAACACATGCTACATCAAAATATGTCAAATCATTAATATCTAGATTCAATGTGGTAGTTTCAACAATGGGGAAAAATAGCCAACTTGATAAAATGTCAGCAAATTACATCAAAAATATAGAATACTAAGTAGATAAGTTTTCGCTATATGTTAAACAATAAATGTATTGTAAAATTTAATTCAGTTGTAAACATACATTTCTTGTTTTTACTTTGATGATCACATTCACCTTCTGTATTTTTCTGAATATTTAACATACAGGATACAGTAGAAAGACCACTAGATTTAGAGTCAGAGGACCTGTCTTCAAATATCTGGTCTGCTAGTTATTATGTGTGTGACCTTACACAAGTCATTTCACTTTTCTGACTCTCTGTTTTTTTAATCTATAAAATAAAGGAGCTGGAACAGATATCTCTAAGCATCTCTTTGACCCTACACTTAAAAGCGATAGCATCCTTAGAGTACAAAACATACATCCCTTACCTTATAATGGTGCTACTAATCAAATCTATATTCATGAATCAAAACCTAACTTATCACAATATATTTAAAATGGGTAAGACTTGAATATAACAGATTTCTTTAACCTACACCAAAAAAAAGCATTTTAATTATTTAAATTTCAAATAGGATACATAAAACAATAGTTTTATATATTCCAATTTACCCTGCAGAACAGGTAACTAAAGCTAATACACCAATGTAAAAGTTGTAAAATTTATTTAATTTTAACTCTGTCACTTACAGAATAAGAGAATTTCAGGACCAGAAAAACCATTGGGTATTATCTAGTTCATTTCATTTTATAGATGAGGAACTTGAGATTCAAAGAGATGGAGTAGATGTTCAAGGTCACATGTCTAGTAAAAAGCAAGAATGTAGGTCTCTTGATTCTCACTGCAGTGCTGTTTCCACTATGCTGTTGTCTAAAATACCTTCTTTCTATAAAACAGATCTATTCATTAGGCTATATCACAACTAGTGATGCAAAAAGAAAAATGAGGGCTAGAGTATAGCAAGGCAGAAGATCAGTGCTACCTGACAGATTTATAGCTGAGCAAATGACCAGACCCCAAGAGTACTGACTAATAAATACAACCAACCTGGAAAGACATCTCCAGTAATGTTCTTTAGTGCTCAATCTTATTCCACAACAACTTAGTTTATCTATTGAAAACATGCTTATTACATTTTCCAAAGCTCCAATGTTATAACAAAAGAAAGATTTCAAAAAGTCTCAAATTGGAATAATGAAACTGAATCCAACAAGAAAAGTTTTAATTGAAATAAATATAAAGTCATATATTGAGGATCAAAAAAAAAAAAACCCAACTGCACAATTAAAGAATGAACAAGTCCTCACATAACAGCTATTCAAGCTGAAAAAGAGGCAGGGGTTTAAGTTTAATATAAGCTCAGTATAAGCCAAGAGTGTGACATGACTGACAAAAGCTAATGCAAGCTTAGACTACAATTAGACTACAATAATAGTTCTATCCAAAGTAATGGAGGTAAAACGTCCTTTGAAAATAGCCTTCTTCTCAATACTCATCCTTCTTGACCTCTCTACAGAATGACACTGTTGACCACCTTGACCTCTTGGATACTGTCTCTTCTCTAAGGGTTTGAGTATTCTGTTTGGTCTTTTTGGGGAGGAAGGGTGGGCGGGCTCTGTTCTCATTTGGTTCTTGTCCCCCTGGTCTTTCTACCCCTTCTCAGTCTCCTTTCCTGGATCATCATTCATGTCATGTCTAAGGCTCTTACTTTATCCTAGACTTTCTTACTTTTTCTCTCTCTACACACTATCACTTAGTGACCTGATCAATTCCCATGGATTCAATTATCATTTCTATGCAGATAACTTCCAAGATCTATATATTCAACCCTCATCTCTTTCCTGAGATCCTGTCCCACTGCATCAACTGTCTATTGCAACTTGTCTCCAAATATGATGCTACATCCCTATTAGAAAGAAATCAGTGGACACCTACTCCCAAAGTATATAATGGTTTGAAAAGTATACACATATACTTTTATGCTCATAATTTTATACATTATTAAACCTATCTAAAATTAAACATTAAAAAATATGAGATATGGATGAAATAGTATTTTATCCAAAAGTCAGGAGGGAGTCACTAGAGTTTACCGAGTAGAATGACATGGTCAGACCAGAGCTTTAAGAAAATCATTTTGGTGGGGCAGCTAGGTGGAGCAGTGGATAAGAGCACCAGCCCTAAAGTCAGGAGGACCTGAGTTCAAATCTGACCTCAGACCAAATACTTGACACTTACTAGCTGTGTGACCCTGGGCAAGTCACTTAACCCCAACTGCCTCTAAAAAAAAAAAAAGAAAGAAAAAGAAAATCATTTGGGGAGAACTGTATTGTTATTACACCACGTTAAAGGAGTATACACAAAGGGGGTGGATATAAGTTGACTTTGATGTAATGATTAAAAGAAAAAATCTAATCAAGTGGGTTAAATGGATCCAAGTAAGTGGAGTAATCTGATCTAACTAAGAAAATGTACTGAGAGAAAAGGAAAAGGAGGAAGCAGAAAAGGGTAAATTACATTACAGGAAAAGGCACAAAAACCTATTATAGCAGAGGGAAAGAAGGGAGGGAGATGAACATTGTTTGAACCTTACTCTCATCAGATTTGGCTCAAGAAGGTAATAATATAATCAGTTAGGTATAGAAATCTAACTTGTCCTATAGGCAGCAGGAGGGAAAAGGGGAAAGAAAAGGGAGGGGAGATAGGAGGGAGGGAAGAAGTAGTAAGCGTAAAGGGGAAGAAAAGGGAAGGGGCTAATAGAAGGGATGTGGGACTGAGGAAGGCAGTGGTCAAATGCAAAACACTACTGAAAAGGGGAAAGGAGAAAGAAAAGCATAAACAGGGAGGAAAAAGGAAGAGAAAGACAGAGATAGTAATCGTAACTGTGAATGTGAATGGGATGAACTCTCCCATAAAATGGAAGCGGATAGCAGAATGGATTAAAACCATAATCCTACAATATGTTGTTTACAGGAAACAAGAGCGACACACAGGGTAAAGGTAAAAGGCTGGAGCAGAATATATTACACTTCAGCTGAAGTAAAAAAAAAAGCAGGGGTAGCAATAAAATGCTATCCACATACAAAGAAAGAACTATGGAGTTTGAAAGCAGATCGAAGCATACCATTTGCTATTTTTTTTTTCGTCTGTGGTGTTTTGTCTCCTCTTTCTGGTGGTTCCTCCTATTGGTTTTAATTCTTAAATATGTTTAATAGGAATGTATATGTACAACCTATATCAGATTGTGTGCCGTCTTGGGGTGGGAGGGGGGAGGGAGGGGAGAAAAATTTAAAACTCAAAAGTTTATGGAAGTGATTATTGATAATTCAAAATAAATTAATTTAAAAAAAAAGAAAGAAAGAAAGTCATTCTGGCAGGTATGTGGAAGACAGACTGGAGAGGAAGAGAGGCTTGAAGCTGGAAGAACAACCAGACAGAGACTACAATTAATCTAGGTAAGAGAAAATGGGAACAAAAGTGTAGGCTGTGTGAGTAGCAAGAAGAGAATAGAAAGTAGAGTCTTTTTTACACTTTTACACATATGTTGTCTCCCAGAATGTAAGAGCCCTATGGTCAGGAATTATTTTGTTTTTGTCTTTGCATCCCCAGCAATTAGCACACTGCTAAGCTTTTCTTCTTGGTTTTAGTTTTTCACGTGTCCTTTTTTTTATTACTTCTTGACCCTATCCAATCTAATTTGCTTATTCAAATTTTCTTTAGGTTTGGGATTCAGAAAACCCAACTTACAACACTGTGTCTAAAGTGAGCATAGTCTGTTTGGCTAAGGAGTTTTGCCTGTGAACAAAGTTTATGAACTTCATTGCAAAGACTTTGTGAAAACTCAATTTTGGCTGCTCAGAGGCTTTCCTCCCACTTAAATTTAAGTCAAAGACTTACTAAACATTCCTTGCATCTCACTTGTGTACTTATTATGCACTATTTTGTATTATAATTATTTGTATATCTGTCATATCTCAAAACTATGACCTTCATGAGGACAAGCAATATAATTTAATTATGTATTTCCTGCAATGTTCCTCCCAAAAACCGACATACTATGGGTACTTAATATTTATCAAATTTAATCAAGCATCAAGAATTTACAAAATGCATAAAAATAAATACAAGATCATTTATGGGGAAGGTTTTAATATCTGATGGGATCAGGAAAGTCTACAGATAGAATAATGGGACCAAGGAACTCTGAGAGGTAGAGGTGAGGAAAGATTGAATTCCACATATCCATGAAAGGTGAGGCAAATGCATGGAAACAGGAGATGGGACTGAGATAAGGAGACAGGAGATTTCCTTAGTGAGGATAGCAAGGAAGCCAGTTTGGCTAGGCCACAGAGTGTATAAAAGGAGATAATATATAAGGTAAGAAAGAGATTGAGGTCAGCTTGTGAAGGGTTTTAAATGCCAAAGAAGTTTATAATTTTATTCTAACAATAACAGAGAGCCACTGGTGCTCATTGAGTAAGAGAATAACATGGTCAGGTCTTAGGGAAACTACTTTGGCAGCAGTGTAGTAGACT